TGTTGAATGCATTCATAAATGTAAAATTATTGAACAAAATGTTAGCATGACAAATTCAGCAACTGATAAGTATAGCATAAGTCCTGTGTTTTAGAAACACAAATCTAACTTAGAAAAAAAAAATTGTTTCAATGGCAGGGGAAAATCATAAAATCATTTTACCAAATGATGCAAAAGTATGTTATAAAATTTAAAACCAGAAACCCTCTTCAAACAATAAACAAACAACAAGTTAAGAGTAAAACAGGGCAAGCATTTTCTTTAATACCAGGAACACAAACTGATGTCTTTTCTCATCACTTCTCACTGCATTTTTATCTAACAGAGTAGACTGAACATAAGTATGAAGGCACAAGTTTTGAAAGGATAGAAATAAAGCTCAAAATTTTTCACATTGTTATGGTTATCAACATAAATAGTAAATAATAGACAAACTCAAAAATAATTCATATAATCAAATAAAAACTTTAAGCTTACAGATAAAAAAATTAAATAAGAATACCAATCAAAATCGATGAATTCATTTGTGTAACAAGATGGCTGTTTCTAAAATTTATATGCTTAGTGACAATGAATGGAGGAAGTGAACAAGTTGGAGAATTTTCTTTACCATAAAGCAAGATAGTTATTATATGGTGTGTGGGTATAGTATGATATGATGTAACGGGAGCTGATGTAGACACAGTAAAAGATGAATAGATGATTGGGATAGAATAGATGGCCCACAAACAGATGAATACCTCTCTTCTCTCTGGATACTTGATAATGCCTGAGGTGACCTTTTTACATTGGAGAATGAATTAATTTGCTAGAAAATGGACCAAGAAACATTTACCAATGAATACATTGGTAGTCTCTTTTCAATCTCACTTGGGAATTTCTTTTCTAGAATCCACAGTTGTGTTGATCTCTCTTCTCTGTTGTCTATCTTCCTTTTATATATATATATATATATTTCTTGTTGGGTTAAGTTCTTTTTCATGTTTTAATTTCCTGTGGTTTGATAAGTGAGCAAGGGTAATGGCAAAGGCTGTGTTTACTTCATACTATTTAGATAGAGGCAAATTAATCACATATCTCATAAAAAAGATAATCATTATTGCCAAAGATATTGTATCTCAAGAGCTTCTAGTTTTTGAAAGTTTTATATATATGTACAAGTCAATCTCTAAACTCACTAAATATCTGGCTAATGCTAATGTTTCAGAGTATGTTGAAAAAAAAATGGCTCATTTGAAAGCTGAAAGCATAGTGTTATTTCATTTGGGGCACTGTGACCAGAAACAATAAAAGAGATGCTGCTTTGCATACAAATGGATATAAAGAATATACAAATTTTGTGCCAATATTTGAATCTCTGCTTTATTTGAAGATTAAAAGGCTTGTTTTTATAACATCTGCTATTGAAAATGTTTCCTGTGCAAAGCAATCTGTATTGTTTTGATACAGATTTTCACAAGAAAGTTATTTTCTCCAGTTACCACACTCACTTACTATGTCTTCATTAATATTCATTTAATAGAATGTTTTTTCACTTTGGTTCAGTAGAAACCCCGTGATGGGGGGCAGCAGAATGCTCAGCTGTGAAGGGTGATTGTCGGGAGTGCATCCTGGCCTAGGGGCATGGTTGCCATGGTTTCTTTGCTGCTCTGCCAAGGCTGTTTCTCACTGTGGGTGGAAAGAAGCTCCCCTGCCAGCAACTACGTGGGATTCTGGCAGCTGGGAGAATTCTGAAATGATGTGCTGCTTCACCATATGGGAGTTTTGAAAGTCTTCTTTTAAATCCAATAGGCAACTCATACTCATAGGAGGAATGAGGGTGATAAGGATGCAGTCCATTACGAGTGCAATATGTGCCCCACGAGACACTTTGAGTTTCTTCTCTGAATACAAGTGTTGAGGAGGATCAGCTCTTAAATGGAAATATTTTAGCCTAACCTTACAGTAATGGCTATTCACAGGGATTCGTATTTGTCAATAAAGATAACATCATTCCAAGGGATTTAAATGGTAGCACTTAAATAGGAGTACAAGAAAGGGTTCCATTTCATTTGRGGGAACTTAAACTCATTTGAAAAATGAGAATTAACTCAGGGTTGTCAATTTGAGTCTGCCTGACTATATTGCAATTTATCTCACACTTTTCAAACTTGAAAAGCTACTGCTTATATAATTAATGCTCCATTGTGATGACTTCATGATCCCCCTAGAAGATCTAGAGCCTAGCGTACAGGCTAATATAGGTCATCTAAGGCACGGTGGAAAGAAAAGTGAGCTAAGTACATACTGACTCTGAATTAGTAATCATTCCTCAGGGGCAGTTTGGGTGACCATTGGTAGGCTAGCCATTTTATTTGCCCCTGAGCTATTCTCATTCTGATTTCATCCTGGCCCAGTTGTAAACTTTAGGCTCTAGGGGTCTGCAAAGGCAATTCCTATTTATGCATTTGGTGTTTAGATATTTTTCTTTGTGTTGGAACTTCTATTCTGAGTGTTTTGTTGAACATGCTCATCTGGCTTTAATACCTCAGGTTGTCTGCAATAGAAATATCCCACACTGTATACAATGTTTTGAGAATAGCAAAGGGAGGAATGGGATTTGAAATGGTGGGACTATTACTTGTACTTGCCAAAATTAGAGGGAGCACTTCTTTGGATTTGTACCAGTTTTATTTCTCTTTTCCCTTTATTTTAAAATAATGAGATATGAAATTTAGAAAACAGAAAGCAAATAGTCCAGAGATTTTTCTTCCGCTATCAATCTTCACCCAAAACTGTGTCCAGTGATCTTGCCACACTGATTTCAGCCACCTACTAATGAAATTTCTTCCTACTCTATGAAGTTTTCTAGTTGTTCTAAACTTTTCCACCTCCTCATATTGTTATGTGACTGAATGTGCACGTATATGTCCATGGAGGAATACTCAGGAAATTATTCTGGTTGTACAAATAACAGCTATGAATTGGGGAGGTGTTCAAATTGTTCTTTTTTTTTTTAACTTCCTCTGAGGCATATGAGTTATAGTTCTCAAGAAGACCAGTTCAATGAGTACCAGACTAGCTCAATCTCTGAGTATAAAGTTATTTTCATACACTTTGAGTTTATCTTATGCCCATGTATTGCTACATAAATATAGGGTGAGCATCTGAATCTGAAATCCAAAAATGGTCCAAAATCTGAAAGTTTTTGAGCCCAGACATAATGCCACAATTGGAAAATTCCACACCTAATATGTCCCAGTCAAAACACTGGCATACTAAAAATATTGTATAAAATTACTTTCAGGCTATATATAAAGTGTATATGAAACATAAATGACTCATGTTTAGATGTGGTCCTATCTTCCTGATATAGCTTTTGATATATGCAAATATTCCAAAATTWAAAAAATCTCAAATCCAAAGCATTTCTAGTTACAAGCATTTTGAATAAGAGTCCATATATATGCCTTGTAGATAAAGTGCACACAGATATTTCTGTGACTGAGTTGAGTACAATCATCCTAATCCATTTTTAAATCTCATTTTTTATTTATTTCTGTTGAACAAGGAAAAGTTATTAGTTAGATGGGAGCCTTTAATGTTCCAAATGAGATTTAATCAAAAATGTTCAGAATGAGAAAAAGTTAGAGGAAATCTATGAAATGAGGATAAGTGTATGGGAGGGAAAGGTTTAGAAGTGGATATATATAAAACAGATCATCTGTGGAGACATGCCTAGCCTATCAAAACCCTCACCTAGATTTTCTTTTATCAACATTGACTAGAACATAGTAGCTCATCAATATTTCCCTACTGCAAAACATATGTACTTAATTAATGTCTTAGAACACATTCAGTAACCTAGAAAATTTTGACACTTATTTTGAACATGAACAACCATGGTTTTCTGTTGTCTCAAGTTAGATGCTGAATGCTGTCTTTCAATAAAGTTGTAAGTGATGAACATCAAAAAGTAAAAGGGACTGCTGTGATTGAAAAATTTTTGACAACCATATGACAGCACAATAATAATGAGTTTAATAATAGTTACAAATAGGTCTAATAATGGCAGATAACAACTCTTGAGTCGTTCCCCTACATTAGGCACTATTTTATGTATTAATTCAACCATATGAAGAAAATTCTTATTTTCACCATTTTATAGGTGATAAGATAAAAAGAATAAATTTACTAAAAWTCACAGATGAGATCAGAATTCTATCCTGCTACTCTCTCTTTTCTGCTCTGCCAGTGTCTTTCTCATTTTTTTAAAGTCATGAACCATAGAAACAGATTATGTAGGGTGAGTCACTATACTGAGAATATGTATTAATGATCTGAACTCAAATTCATTTCCCTTACTACATGCATTGAATTTGGATACCATCTACTGTCTTCCATTTTAAAAATTCGCTGGCCAAAATTCAACAACTTAAGTTTACAATGCACTAACTGGTTTCAACTCACTGAAAAATATATCCACAGAGTTCAAAAGATTAATTATCATTAACATAAAAGAATGAGTAGGGGCTGGGTTGTAGCTTAGTGGTATAGCACTTGCCTAGCACATTTGAGGCTCTGGGTTCAATCCTAAGCACTATATAAAGATAAATAAATAAAATAAAAGTATGTATCCATCTACAGCTACAAAAATTATTTTTTTAAAAAAGTGTGAGCATATAAAATTTGAGAGCTATAAACTCAAGATAGAATGATATACATACAGGAATGCTAAAGATTATCAAAAGAAGTTTGAGCTGGAAAAGAGGGGCTTCTGTGGACTTGGGGCATAAAGGAGTCATCATAAGTAATAAGCATTTTCTGTTTCTGCAACATGGATTATAAAAAGGGAGTTGATCTTTATATTGTCCAGGAAATCATAGGACTTGATTCATATGGTTGACCTGATAGCATCTATCAATGCAGATATAACTTCCCAAAATGCTAAAGTTAGATTTTTTTTAAATTTAAATCAACAAAACATGAATTTTTCAAATATTTCCTGTTGCTCTCTACAGGGTGTTTTGAGTGCTGTATTAAATGCCTGGGAGGGATTCCGTATGCATCTCTGATTGCCACCATCCTGCTCTATGCGGGCGTGGCCCTGTTCTGTGGCTGTGGACATGAAGCACTTTCCGGGACTGTCAACATTCTGCAAACCTACTTTGAGATGGCGAGAACTGCTGGAGACACACTGGATGTTTTTACCATGTGAGTCAATCTAGTACTTATATGAAGTGTGTATGTTGTTTACATTTGCTGTGTGTTAAATRAATGGGCATCTAGAGTTAGGGAGGTGATAATATGGATGAAAAAGATACTACTAGGTGTACCTGGTTCAGAATAGCCTTGGCCTTTCCATCAGCACAAGGCTCTTGGCATAGAATCAGAAATAAAATTAATTCAGGTTTGCTCAGGCTTTGACTCTGGTTTTAGCTAGACTACAAGTACCATTAGGTAGAACATTTACTTTTCTCTTGCTCTTTCAATTTGAGTAAAGGCTCAACAGAAAGATAATAAAGAACATACTGAGATATACATCTAAACTCTGCTGCTAATTCCAGGAAAAGTTTTTTAAAAAACAGTCCAAGGTACTCTTATTTTTCAAAACAGTCTAATTCAGCCACAGATATGGTATCCTCTACTTTTCCTGCCTCACAGAAAATTATGTCAAAATTGTGGAAGGTTCTCAGGCTTTCTGTAAAAGGATAAATCACAAGAAGAAACTGAGCAACTTTTTTTCCTCAAAATACCAGTTATGCTTTTCTTTTCCAAAATGGAAACTCTTGGTATTACTAAATCATGATGATATTGAAAGAATACATTTTTAGAAAGATAACTTAAATTGTCTGAAAGTGAAAAGTTGTTATTCAAATTTCTGTCCTTTATTGCTTTATATTATAGTAAACAGGAGTTTGAGAATTAATTACAAAATAATTTATTTCCAAATGAGTTACTGATTGAATCTATTAAGTGAGTTCATAACTACAAAAAAGGAAAATGACTTGTTTATTACAAGTACTTTTTGTAATCGCACCATAATTTGTCCCAGGACCCATCAGTTTTTTTTGCCCTTGGAATTTATTGCATTTACTACATACTACTTAATACTGTGTGCTTGTATTGTGCTTTATGTCCTTTATGTTGTCATTCTACATAAATTAAAATACTCAATGTATATTCACTTTTTCTGGAATAAGATGCATTTAGGCTTGTAAGTCTTCATGGTTATCTGGATGGCTAGAAAAAGCTTTACTTTTTATTTCTGTAATTCCATCTAAAAGAAGTTGGTCAAAACTCTGATTAATGCAGGGCAGTTGCTATTGTCCTGGTTTAATTTTAATCTAAAACCCTAATCTGAGACAAGACTTGGTCAACTTATACAATTTTATACATAGAAGACAACTATTCTCCAACTACATTATCAAAAATATATCACTATGTTTCTTTATCATCTAGAATAAGTTTGTTCTGAACAGGATATTTTTATCAATTATATTCATTATTTTGTTCATTCAGGTGAGTAATTTTCCATGAAAATGAAAAGAGAATACAGTTACTTATTCATTTGGATAAATAAAGCAGGAATTCTTTACTTTGAGATGTACTTCCAGACAGAATGGATAGAAAAATTTTTAGGAAAAGATAAGTTAGAATATTTATGTGGATCTAAAATATCTTAGAAGTGAAAACACTGGTTAAAAAAAGAAATAAAGTTTAAAAACTATTATGAGACTAGGGAAACTCCCTACAACCCACACATAGTGATTAGAGGGAAGAGGAGGATTGATTATTTAAGAAATGAAGCTTATGTAAAAATATAGTCCCTAMCTGTGCAGTATCAAGGATAGAGAATCACCATGGACATTGACAAATGACAAAGAAATATTAATAGCAAGCTAAAAGTTATATATCTTCCATTACAACTTTATTTTGCAAATTCATTCTAGAAAGTTAACATTACCTGCCAAATTGAATTCTTTAYACCTGTAGCAGTAGACAGTTTATCAATTTCCATCAGATTAAATGCAAACATACACATAAAAACCAAAATTCAGTGGCTATCAATGACTTAGACTCAAACATGCCTGAAACAATTCTTAAGCTTATAAATGATATTTATCATTTGGAAGATAATTAAACTATTTGAAAATGCATGGTATTACTGCAAGTTAGTTTGCAGAAAGTTTTAAGAAGATGATTGCATGCCTCTATTTTAATGTGATAAAACTGACATTTTCTTTTTAGTTGTATCTCAGCCTACCCTGGACAAAATATGTTCTCACTGTTCATTATTTTAAGCTACCACAGATGTCCTTAAAAATCTACAGATTCTCTATACTTAGGCTACATTCAAAGTGCTAAATTTGGTTATAGAGTGTGAAGTTTGTTAGGAATCATAAGCCTAATAAATGGCATGCCTATATACATCTATTAGCAACCAATTATCAAGATATATTTGATATTTAGACAACAAACTTTAATATATTTCTGAACTCAACTAAAGCGCTGAAATTGTGAGTTTAAAAGAGAGATTTGAGGACAGAGATTTTATTTAGTACTTTTGCCTTTGGTGTGTTACATGAGAAATTAAATGCCACCAGTAACACATTTTTGGAATGGAAAAACATTGTTTTGGTTGGGAGAAATTAATGCCAACATTATCTCTCTTTTCTTTGTTCAAATTACTTGAATTTCTTCTATGGGTCCTGTGGAGCTGCCAAATGGATTAAGACTCTCTCTGCCAAAAAAAAAAAAAAAAATAGTTCATGAAAACACAGAGGGCAGATGCATTCTGTAAACTTCTCAGTGTGATCAGTGCCAGTTGATAAGGTCAAAATTTACATAAAGGTTCAGAGGAAGTAGAGATTAACCTGTGAAGGGCTAAGGATAGGGGAATCAGAGAAAAGGAAAAGGTGAAATACAAGGCAGTGGAGAATGAGCAATGTGCTTTCAGGAGATACTTCTTGCTTGGTAATAAATTGTTTGAAAAAGAAAATTAAGAGAGTGTGAAGAAAGGACTTAGAGCCAATTTTAGTAATTTACTGAGATTCTTATTACTTTTCTCCATAGTTTTCATGCTTAATTCAACCATAGTTTTCATCCTATATCTTATACTTGGAAAGGAAAAGAAGCCTGTTCACTGGATGGCTAAATGAGAAGATACAATTTCCCAAGACTTGAGACTTCCACCCATGGTTCTTAGAATCTGAGAATTAATCCCTCCTTTATCTTGAGGACCACAAATTCTCTCTATTTTCTCTCCTTCATAATCCCACCCTTCTTCTCCCTCCATTCTTCTCCATTCTCTCTCTCTTTTCAAATACTTACAAGTATCCCTACATGGTCACTCTCTCCTGAAAGGAAAACTCAAGGGCAATCATGCTGAAATATGATTATTCTGATCCATAATCACCTGCCCAGCATGCAGAATGTACTTATCATAAATAAGGTGTGCAAATAATCTCCATTCTTATGCAATTTGTCTTTCAGATATTTAATGATAAACACCATTAGCCCACCCAGTAGAAAGTGATCTGAAATCTGGGTCTTATATTCCCAGCTGATGTTACCCATTGAATCACTTTGTCATATTACATTTGTTGTGTGGAGACCTTCAGAGAGGGGTAGGAGAAGTGAATTTCTCAAAGATTTTGTGCCCTATTGATGTAAGTTTTAGTGTATCTCTCTCTCTCCTTACCTACTTGGTTTCCCAGAAGCTTTTTTTTTTAAAAATCTGTCAGTTTAGTTCCTCAAATCTAGGTCATTTGTTGGCTCTAAACTCATAATGATAAGAGTGGAACTTAACCTATGGCTCCCATCAGTGTTCCTACCCTCCAACCACAACTTCTGTGTGTTCAGCGCAGTCACTTGGGCACACTCAACACTGGAAACAGCTCTCTACTCTGCCACTTTCTTTTATGATGAAGAAGAAATGTTCTAAGTTGCCATTTAGACTTTCTTATCCTGAGAGATCTGGGGGAAGGTGTTATTGCTGTRATCCATTAGTGTCACTTGACAGTGAATGAGAAGGAGGGTAAGTATTTTACTTTGGAAAGTGGATTCATATAGGTCTGTGAAATACAGACACTTGTTAGAAAATTAGCTATGAAACTGATTAAATCACTGATTTTTCTGGGTGAGTTGGCTTCTTGAATAACTCTCCTGAGAACTGAGAGAAGATCAGCCTTACTCACAATTAATACTCACCCATAAATTATATGGATGGTGCTTGGGCTTTGGCAAATTATAGTGAATATCCAGGATCTGATATCATTGATTACTGGAGTGAAGACATTTTGTTTTCAAAATGTTAGAACTGTGATTTGAGTTCAATGGATCAAAACCTGAGTTCACTAGATAATTAATTCTTCAATATTTCAAAGCAAAATCAAGCAGTAAGTTTGGATAAAATAGATTAATTGATTTCACTCTCAATTAACTTCATGTGGGTCTATATTTCTGACTTTGCTTATAATTTTTATACATCACTTATATATTAATAAAATAGGACACAGTTGTCAGTTGCTTAATGAGTGAGAATAAGAAGGGAAAATAACCATGATTTTCAAGACAAAATGAGGTTTTATAGGCTGATAAGAACCATAGCAGTATGCAAACTACCTGAACAGATCTAGGGTGCTGATAATTACACCAGACTGCTGAAGTCTTACTTACCACAATGTCTGCATATGAGAAAAATTAGTATCAATGAGAGATTATTGATTAGTCTTGAAAATTCAAACATAATTTAAATCATAGTTGACACTTAGGGGTTAGAAAACCATACTGAATTCCTGACTTCTGAAATAAAAATCAAATAGTATGCATTTCATTAGCCAATATTTTAGCCAGGCTAGTATTCCACAAATGAGTGTTYCTAAATTAATTAAATAATTTTTAAAATGCTGAGGTAAAGTAATGTTTAGTCAGCATTTTCTCTGTTGTGACTAAAAGGATCTGACCAGAACAATTTTAGAGGAGGAAAAATATCCTTGAGTGCTCACAGTTTCAGAAGTCTTAGGCTACAGAAGGCTGGCTCCATTCCTCAGGACTCCAGGTGAGGCTGAACTTTATGGTAGATGAGTGTGGCGGAGGGAAGCAGCTCACATCTGGATCAGAAAGCAGAGACTCCACTCACCAGATACAAATGTGTACCTAAAGTCATGCCCCAATTCCCACCTCTTCCAGCCACACCCTAGCACTTCAGT